CAGCAGTGAAGGGTGTAGTTGTGTGCTGGTGCATTTGTTGCTATGGAGTCGATTCAGTCGTCTCTAAAAGGCCTGATCTGATTCGAAGCACACCGGGTTAGATCTGGACTGTAAAGGTAACACGGGTCTTTTGAGCCTCACGTTTCAGGCTGTGAATGTTCAGACTGTTTGTAGTGGCTCTGAGGATTTTGCTAACAACTTTGTTTGCAGAATGCCCTACACCTGGATTTGATTCTGTTGACTACATAATAAATGTGGTCTTTGTGAATCTCTGTTTGGACTTAGAAGTTTATTTATTTGAGGAGTGCTGCTCTCGGCATCAGGGTTATCTCATCTTCAGCTATCATATTTAATAGAAAGCTGGTGTTAGAAACTGGAGGTCTGGGTCACCTTTCTGCACTGGTCCACAGTACAAAGTCAAACAGCCTCTTGGTCCATAATTAATAGCCTGTTGCGTCTCAGTTAAGATGGATTATTCCCTGTCTAAATTTGTGCCTCAAAAAATCCTGTTTCAAAAAGGAAATTCTTCACGTTAAGGAAATATTAGAATTATTTCATGGAATCTGTAAAGGTGCACTTATTTATTTTGTTGTTTTTTTTTGTCTATTGCCTGTTTATTCATCCAATGAAATGTGAGCAATCATTTGATTTGATGTTGCATTTTGTTCTCCTGACCAATAGAAATCTAATATTCTCTTTTAGCTTTGGACTTTTAAGTTGTTGGATTACTGCTGTGTAGGTAGTGTACACTGGGAAACAGCTGCTGCTCTAAACAAGACTGATCAGAATGGAGTTTGCTCGCTGTAAAACCAAAACAAGGAGCTGAAGTATTCTAAAGGCCAGGTACCATACTCCATAGCCTGACATGCAGCTCCCCAGGAGTGTAGCTAAGCGTTGTGGCAACACAAACCGCAACATTTTGTGATCGGTCACATTTCCTCGTCCATGTCTCTTAGTGGCCAGACAATTAGTTGGTCTTTGCTCTCATCTGCTTTGGAATATTTTCAGTAAAAGTACTGCTGTTCACCAAGACGTGACCCACTCAAAGGCAGTTGTCATTGTTTGTTGTAAGTGGCAAAGAAACTCAACACAGTGGCATAGATACCACACTGCCAACAAGTGTTTTGCTGGTATAATTGCAGATATAGGGTTATAAAAATGTAAGTGCAGTATATCTGCCCAATCCATTGCAAACAAAAGAAAAATCCGGTAAAAATTCTCGTAATGTTGGTGGAGAGATTTGTAAATGGGATTAACCTCGGAATTCTAGAGGGAGCTTGTGTGTTGACTTAAAAGAATGATCATATTTATATTGCAGACACACAAATGATCACATAATGGTGCAGTGAGCATAACACTAATGTTAGCCATAAGCCAGAGCCATCTCACTATCTAGCTTTGATCACACCTGAGCATTTACTGGGCAATCTGAATCCTTTTTTTGTAGGTTCATTGAACTAGATCATCGTGAATTGTTAGGTTAGTCCTGGGGAGGGCTGACCTTGCCTTCTGAGAGCTGAGACAACCAAGATCACAGCGGTATAAGTACTGTTTGTGATGAGAATATTTACACTGACATTATAATAGGCTACATTTAAACACACACACACTGCTTTTGTCAGCACTTCATTTTTCATCCCATCTGAAAAAATTGCAGATAATTAATCCATAATGTTCGAAGAAAGTGTTGGTGAATTATCAGAAACCCAAACACATGAAATGATGGATTAAAAGATGAATACTCATGAATACACAAATGAGGGCATGAATAAAAATGGGAAACAAATGAGCTGAAGGATGGAGCGGGCCAGAAGGAGCGCGAACAATCTGGCAAACAATCTCTGCAGGCTCCTTTTAGTCATTTAGCTTTGTTTCCTCCTCTTCTCTAAATGAGCTCCTTTAATCTGTCACTCACTTCCTCATGCTTTTGTTCTCCTCTTTATTTGGATGGAAGAGTTCATTTCAGCTGGATGATCTGATCAATAATTACTATCCAGGCCCCACACACACACACACACACACACACAGACTGATTCAATATTCCTTTGGTAATGAATACACAGCTTTTGAAAAAAAATCAAAATTTTAAAACACAGAATACATATTAACACAGACAAAATCTTTCAACCACCCGACACACACACCGTTTATCATAGCTGTTGCCCGGTTCACATCAACATTGTTTTTGAGAGCTAGTTTGGAAATGTCAAGCTTTTTGAGATTTCTTTGCTTCTGCTGCATGTCAGAGAAATTAACAATCAGCCTATACATTTTAATCCACATCATCACTCAGCTCGTACACACACGCACACACACATCTTCGTGCTTAACACTTCTTTTGCATGATTTTTCCTTCTTTGTGCAGCAAACACACTGACACTGCTTCGAGCGAATGCTTGTGTATCAGACCAACAGTTTTTTGGTGTTATGAATATGTCAGAAAGTCTGATTAAAGCAATGGTTCATAAACTTCTCATAACAGTGCCCACGCCACACACACACATTCAGACAATTGCCAAATAAACAAAGTAGATGGCATTTCCTAATTTCGAGGGCGGTGTTAACTTTTCCACAGAACCTTTGTTTGGTTGATTTGTGTATGTGTGTCTCTGTGCAGGAGTGTGTATTGCCTGCTTCTTGGGCTCCATGTGAAATAATAGTGTGCTCAGATCTTTGGATGGAGTGAGCAATACTTAATAGGGCCATGATAATAAGTATTAAAGCCACTGGACCTGAAAGAAAACGTGATGAGACTCTTAATTACGAGAGAGAGAGTGGACCCTAGTGCAAGTAGAAATAAAATGAGAGAGACAGAAAACTACAAAAAAATCCTGTGAATGGGTTTTTAAAACATAATGATGAGGGAGATGGAGGTGATGAGGAAGGGGGAGTAGCTGGATTGGGTGTGTGTGTGTGTGTGTGTGTATGTGTCTGTATGTGTACACACTGAAGCACAAGCAGAGATTGAGATGAATCAGGAGACAGGGAAATACTTTGCACTCTAATTCTCTTCTCTCTAGCTGTGTTGTATTGAAAAGATGTGGGGGGGCAGGCCGTAATCATGCACTCCCTACTGTGGGTTTTGTACTCTCTCTGATCTCTCTTCCTCCATGTCTAGTGCAGCATCTCTTGCGCACACACACACACACGCACGTATTTACTTACACAGTCACTGAAGTGAGGCCCTTATTTGAGGATCTCATCATTAGACAACCTGGCAGGGTAATCACCACTTCCTCTTTAATCTTGTTTTTCTCCATTGGATATTGGCACATTTTTTTATTCTGGAACAAAGAAGTCTGAGGTAAAACAGAACCTTTTGGAGCACATAATTTACTGTATATCAGGAAATGTAAAAAATAAAAATATAAACCATTTAGGGCTGCAGAGATAATTGGTCTATCTGTGTCATGCTACATTGAAGTGTTAATTGCAGGTTTTGCTTTTTTGTGCTCCCATTTTTTGTATAGTAAAACACAGCAGGTTCTGGTAGTTATGTTGTCTAGAAATCAGTAATAGTGTTGAAAATATATGAATTGATAGCCAATAACTACTGATTAGAAGTTTATGGATGTTGGCCTTTGGAGACGGATGCCAACGTCCATAATTAAATATAATGAGTATGTAAGTATACAAAATTACGTATACAAATGATGGGACTTTAAAACATGACTACCAAAAATTTGTGATAAAGATTTTAAAATATAAATATAGTGTTATGATAAAGATGTTTTAAAGTCCCCTTAAACATCAAAATTGACAGTATCACTAAATACAAGATAACACAAAAGGGTCAGTGTTACTGATATAGCTTTGTTTTTTGTGTGTTTGTTTTATAGTTATTTAAAGTAATTGTAATTTTAAACTTAATTTGACCAGGACTGTCTGACCGACCTCTTCCTGAGCTTTAACGCAGCATTGCATATAGCATTTACTGATACGGGTGAGATAGAGTTTGGCTTGTTGTCATGGAGACGTGTGGAAGTTACAAAACATTACAAATCACGTAACCCTTATAAAAGAAATGTATGTTATAACTCATCAATATATTCCTATGCATCATTTAAAGAAAAGTTTACATATTTCCTCAAGGCGTAATTATGATCATAGTCATTTTGAATAAGGCTGTGTTTTCCAGGTTCCAGAGCTTAATGGTGCCATTCCCAGTTTGGCCACTGGACGGTGCTGTGTCTTTTGTATTAAGTTTTGGGGGAAGTTCCTGGAAGGGGTCCCACTTTTGACACTGGGTAGTACCTGTCTAACACCAGTATGTTCTGGGAAAAAATGGAAAAATCCAGTTTTTTTTTTTTTTGAGACAGTTATTTATGGCTGTTTCTAGGCAGCTGAAAAGAAAAAAATGGAGTAGGTTGTGGTTTTGTTCCACAGAGGGAGGACGCTATACAAACAGGAGCTTCGAGAGGCTGGGTTAACTGCTCCCTGGAACAGCTTGGTTTTATTGAAATCTTTGTACAATAAAGCCTATTACATCTGTCTCAAGTGAGTTTTTCCCAAAAAAATTGGGAGACAATTGTGGTGAAGTTTTTTTTTTTTCTACTACAGATGGACCTGCTGACTGTATAAGCTATGTAGCTGTTCTTCCATGGCACCTTTAGGATTGCAAATCCATGTCAGGCTAAAAGTATTATAGTGAAAATACCTTGGAAATCAGGAAATTTTATGTCAGATATACATAAAAATCCTGCTTTTGTCAGTTTACTGCTCCACAATTTCTTTGCACACACATGTGTCAGCACAAGCTGATAGAGATACAACTGTGATAGGCCAGTATCTATTTTGTTATTATTAGTTTACAGTATTCGGATGGCTTTGTTGCTTAGTTTGCTAAGCCATATACAGTACTATGAGAATATTGTATTTATTATTAGAATATATTTTCCTTTTTTTATAAATTAAATTGTTTGTTTTTGTGATTGTTCCACCAGAAGCAAACTCCCTTGAATGTTTACTTATGTAATGTGCTGACATTTATTCCCTTTCAGTGTCCTGCTTCAGAGGGATTACAGTTTCCTGAGGGACATTAACGTCTGGAACCCCCTCGTCACCATCGGGGTATATTCCTCTACACTCTCCGCCGCTATGAGCAATCTCATTGGAGCTTCACGCATCCTCTACGCTCTGGCAAGGGACGACTTGTTTGGTAGGTAGCATCACAGCTCCCTTCAGGAGGGAGCTGGGGTATTTCTGGGACAAAGAAGCAGATGGACTGATCTACAGACCAGGCCCTTGGATGTTTCAGTGTAAATATCATAGATTTGGTGACAGGTGGTTTGTATTTGGAACAATAATAGACATCAATTCAGTTTGTGCTGCGTCAACTCAGTAGCCTCACGCAGTTAAATGAATGGGGCATTTTTTCTCAGGCAGTACTAATGACAGTCTGGAAATAACTGTAGCATTTGATGAGGTAAAAAAGAAAGAACCAAGGGAAGTTGGTACACACTATATCAATGTCAAGCCAGCCTCCTACAACAAAATAAACTTGAGTTTTATATGAATCGTTTCCAATGACTGATGTCTCCAAGTCTGACTGAAAACAAACACGAAATAGCCAGAATTTTTCTTTTAAATAGTATTTTCTTGGAAAATTATAGTACTCAAACACTTTTATAAAGGGCCACTCTAATTCCAGTAAATGCATTTAGCTTCCCTGTCTCTTTCGTGTGTTTGTGTTGTGTGTTCTTTTGAAGACGTACTCTATATATAGTATAAGGAATTGTGATAAGTCACAAAAACACGAACAGTTTCACTTTCTTTTAAACCAGTGAAAGAAAATTTTAATGCACTTTTCTTGCAGACATGAAGTGACTCATTAGTACATATTTCATGACACAGGTGTCATATGATTCACATCATATGGACAATACAACTTAAAGGTGCATTAAACTTAAAGTTGTTACAGTGAGTTTTACTAAAAGCTTGGCGATTGATCATGATGGAATGACTCCTGGAATTCTGAAACTTCCCAGCAAACATAGATAACAATAAGGCAGTTTCACATCTAGCCCGGCGTTTGTGGGGTCGTTCAACAGCATCTGACACTGGAATTAGGGAGCCTGCATCTGACAACTTTAGTAGCTTTCTGAAACGGACAACACAACAATCACATCCATTTTACAGGTGTGTGTGCAGCTGTGAAAGTTAGGCAAGGTTTGAAATTCACTCAAGGGCTCTGTTTTCATTCTTAACACAACCTATCAGTCACCTGTTTGTACAGCTGAGTGCAACACCGTGAATGCCTTTGAAGAGAGACTGTCTAGAGGTGGTCAAAGGCAGACTGAACCCTTAAAGATACCATACCTGTGCTCAGCGGCAAAAGTATTTATCGCTGCCAGTTTATTCGTCTTGAAAGTTTTAAGATAAAAACATTTTGATTTGTTATGTGAGCTGCTAATGAATTCATGGTCATTCCCATATCAAGTGACCACAGCATTCAAGTGATTACCATCTGTTTGTGCCTCTGTGTGAATCCATGCTGCCTGCTGCTTTGTCATTATTAATGAGTGTGAGCTACTTCCTTATCCTGTCCTCTGCTCCTTTGTTAAGTCTATTGCAAATTGACTGGCCTGTTTCTGTCTGCGTGTACAGCCATGCGCGTGTGTGTCAGGGGAGATAAATGGCTGTATTAGCGCAAGTTCCTCTGTGGAGTGATCAGATGGAGCAGAGGCAGATGACTCTAGCTCAGCCGTTTCTTCACCAGCAGCCAAAGGGTTAACTTAAATTGCGTTAATCTGTTTTAGAGTCCGTTACTGTGGAGAGATAAATGTGTAGTGTTGTAGTGGGGATGACCACATTGTATGTACAGAAGTGCATGTTTGTGTTGCTCGTTGTTGTCATTCATGCATGCTGATCACTGCTTAACCTTGCCACTGTCCTAAGCAAACTGAGTGATGAATGCGTCAGTTTTCAGCACAAACACACACTGACTTTTTTTGCCATCCCACACATCTGCCATTTTTTTCTTCTCTGTAATTCACTAATCTCTAGCTCCGTCTCTTCTGCCTCTCTCCATCCTCTCCATCACTCAGTCTACTCCTCTCAGGCACATTGATTTGACTTTAAAGTTTCACTGATTTAATTCCAATCCTTTATCAACTGTGAAATGTAGTCTTAAACTCTGATCCCCACACTGCCACCATAACCACTCACCTCCCTCCCCCCCTGCTTCCAGTCTCCCTACCTTTGAGTTGCCCTTCTTGTCCTTTTTTATGTAATGTCTTTTTATGTCTCTGTGGTTGGCTCTGTCTTTCATTCTCATAACCTCTACTCCACCACGAGATTTAACACAAATGTCGTAGTTATCAAGACATGAAATGGCACACAGGAGAAAGAGCCTGAATGTATACCCTATAAAGCATTTAAGTAAAGTGTCAGCTTAGTTGGTGTCCTTTGCTGTTTCGCCCGCCCACTCACTTTCCTTCTAACCTGCTCTTGCTTTTCAGACTACACATATAGTTAATTACATACATTTAGTTTAAATGTCGGTAACAGTGAATATTGCCATCCCTATTCCAAATCCGATCTGTGAAACCATAACATCACTGTTGCACTGAGGTCTGACTTTCAACAATCAGATTTTCTTCTGCCATAAGAAAAAAAAAACATGTATATGAGAAACGGGAATAGTGCTTAGAGTTGCAAAGCAGTTTTTCCCCTTTCTATATCCACATATCAAGCAGTGGACTTTATATTGCTTATTTAATTCCTCCTCCTTTGTTACTGACACAATCATGCTTCGCCAGGCATCTTGTCACGGTAGATGACTAAACGCTACAGTACCCATGAGCCTCAGCCACCCTTGCTGTGGAGCATTAGTGGATTGATAACAATTTGTCATTGAATTTGTGAACAAACATGACACAATAGTTTCTGAATTCAACAACAACCTTTCTAATGTTATAAAGCATGATAAAAGAAAGTCATGAATTTCATTACAATATCTATTTTGCCCTGTAATTTTAAATGTCTAAGTGCAGCTCTGCCATGGTCAGTGCTTCTGTGGGGTGTTTTTAATTATTTTATTTTTTATTTATGATAGCCGATGGGCTGCTTTCATGTGTTATTTTTAGCATCCATGTGTAATCATTGTGTGTGGATTTGGTGTAAAATCAGCAGTTCTCTGTGACCAGATACCAGTCCACCTCCAGATAGCAATTTTTTTGTACTAATGGTTTTTTTAACCAATGGTCTGTGCCCCCTTGTGGTCCGCGAAGGCATTGCAGGTGGTCCCTGCCCATGTAAATGAATAAGGTAGTTTTACTGTGGGAATCATTATTTAAAATTTTATTTTTAAAACAAGTATTACATATTATTTGTGACTACTAAAAATCGTGCAATTTTATAATATTTAGAACAGCCAAGGATTACAATAATGCCCATTCAGTCTGTCTACCCCACAGTAACATTTAGTTGAAAACCCCTGTTTTATGCCAAATGAATGACAAATAATTACAAAGTATTGTATTTATGAAAATAAGAACGTACCCAAAATTGACACTAAGTAGTGAGTCTTGTGCTTTTCTGTATAACCGGTACTAGAGACAGCTCTCAACATCTCTCTTTGGATTACAGGTGTAAGAAGAAAAAAGAGATGTCAGCTTTTTTCCATTCTGGAGAGAGCAAAGGTGGCTGTGTTTAGCAGAATTCAGAGAACAGAGAGATCTGCAGATGTTGATGCCATTACAGTGTTTGTCAAAATGTTGTGAGCTTGCTTAAAAAGTAGATATTAATTATTTTAAATGATGATGAAGATTTTCCAGTGTTATAAAGATGGGCTAATGAACTTATCTTCAGGAGCCTTGTATGTTAATTTGGATTTTGTGAATCTTGAGTCCTGCTTTTTGTTGTTCTGTAGTGTAAGTATTGGTAGGTAACATTTTCTCTCTCTTTCTGTTTGAGTTCTCTAAAAGCGCTAGCCTTTGTTTTTGTTGTTTATGAGTAAAATGTATCTGTCCTGCCTGAAATAGCAGGGCTTTTTTCACATTTTAATTTAGAATTGTATTATTTTAACATGTTCTGAGCTCTGAAATCATCTTATTTGGTAAGCGAATTTAATAATATGTCAGGGAGATGTGGGAAGCAGTGTCAGAAACCATCAGGAATAGCTGAGAGGACGAGGTGTCAGTGTAGAGGAACTCAAGTTGTGCAAATGCTGTATGAATTTGTGCAGCTATTGACTACAGGCATCTCTGAGTCGCATCTGATTGACAAGGAGTGAACACCTGTTTATTTAGTCCACGCCCACATTGTGTCCAAAACTGTGTAACATTTTCCAGCAGTGTGAGCAATGCCTGCTGACATTTAATGGGGGGATGTTGTGGAGGAGATTCTCATTAATAGCATGCTTTGTTTGATTAAATGTTTGTCTATGAGTGCATCCAAGGTCCAAGGTTTCACTGATGAGGGGGGTTTTGAAGGTCAGTTCTCATATTTTTAACGTGGAAGCTGCTGCTAGTGAGGTATTTTCATGTCAAGAGTCCCTCCAAATTTGAAGCCTTCCCTTGTTTTCACAAACATTTCTTTTCATCCCTGTAGGTAAGGTGCTGTCTCCGGCTAAGAAGACGTCCTACAGTGGTAACCCCTGGGTCTCCGTGCTCATCTCCTGGTTTCTTGTGCAGGTAAGCAGATGTAAACAAATTCAAAATGATGGAGTGTGTTCATAAAGGCAATTTGGTACTTGACAAAAGTACTGGAAGTAATCACCAAAAGGCAAGTGCAGCAGATCTGCCAGTTAAAGCATCAAATCCAAGAACTGACAGATGATAGTAAATAAGTTACTTTGATCTGATGTGATGCAAAAATAGTCATTTCAAAGAAAATGATAACCATGTCTGTTCTGAGAAGATGAGCAAAGAAGTCATATTCCACATCTGTGAACATTTCAGACACGTTTTCCCTGAATTAGGTTGCAGATATCAAAATGGGATGAAACAAAGGCATGAGTAACATTCTCCAGGTCAGCAGCAAACAGAGGTGGTTTGATTTTAGAGAGAGTTTTCAGAACCAAGACAGGTTAACCCTCTGTACTTGGTTGTTAAAGTTCAGGTTTGAATCAAAATTATTGACAAGTTTTTGGCAAATTGTCTTCTAATTAAGAACAACATTCATATCCCTTTAGTTTTATTTCACAAGCTTTTGTGTAGTTATAAGCCTACGTTTCTCACAAGCAGGACTAGATGGCACCAGGGATTGTAAAATTTTCCCACAAAATAACAGTAGATATTTTTATCATCCCTCACTGATGTCTTTCCCAGTTGCGCCGGTCACTTATCAAAAGTCTCAAAGTAATTATTACTTCATAAATTCAATGCTGTGGTTAACTCGGACTGGTTCATCAGAGTACCTATAAAAAGTTTGGGTGCACTATTTCTCATGTTTTGTCAGTTCAGTGCCGCCTGAGAAACTGGGTAGAATGAATGAAGATGATCACTGAATGAATGGACAGACAGATGCTGGGAATACAGTGGCCCTAGAACAGTTGAACTGAAGAGACTGTGACATTTTTACTTTGTCCAAAGAGGCCAAACAATCTGCCTTTAGTGTTTTTTTTTTTTTTCTCTTTTAATGTGTCTTCTAAATGGGGGAAAGAAGTCAATTTAAACTGAGGAGAAATATTGGCAGTGGGGAGGAAGGGAGGATCTTAGGGGCAAATAGGCCTGACTATCCCATCATTATCAGAGGTGAGTGTTAAAGGCTGAATGGCCTGTCATTATTTACACACTGTTTCTTTCACTCTCCATCTCTCATCCTCTTCTCTTCATCCATCGCCACTCTCAAGAAGTGGAGGAGGAGCAATTAGATGGAAATCGTTAGCTGCACCGCCGCCACCATCAGAGATCATTGACTCTCTTGTCCTCTTTCTGTCTGCCTCTTCCTCTCCTATTTGAATGATTCACTGATGACAAAAGTCTGATTGTAATCTCGTCTCGAACACTTGCACACTGCAGGATTGAAAATGGAGGAGGAGGAGGAGGAGGAGGAGAGGGATGAAGGCTTGAGCTAAGGCTTACTTTTAATATACTTGTAACAAAAGGGAAAATGGGCTAGACTCTGAGAACAAGGGGAGAAGAAAATCAAAACATTAGAAGAAGTTTGAAGTGGATAGGGCTTGATAAGCAGTGTAAAAGAAGGCTGCACCCCGACACAAAGTGATATGATGGAAAACAGGGACATCGTGTTGTACATATGCTGTTCGACTTTATTCACTCTCTTCAAAAGTTCACAGTCATGTAAATCCAAGAATGAATGTCACTGCTTGCAAATATTTTTAAATGCCTGCAAACCTTCTGCACATTCGCTTCAGCTGTAACAATCACTAGTTTCCCCTCATAGAAACAATCTGATTCAGAACCACTTGTTCAGAGGTAAATAAAAATCAGTCTTCATTCAATACTATAATACAAAATGAAGCTCAGCTCTATTAAATTTTTTGTTAGACTCAGCTGAAACTGGCCAGTAATCTCCTACAGTTTTTGATATGCTCAAAGAAAACTCATTTTACATTTCATTCTTTTGGTCCATACTTAAAACTCTTGACTATACAATTGAATGTTAGCACATACAGAGAGGTCACAAATGAAAGGAAAACCCAAAGTAGATGAGTGGTCTCTTCCCCCACCCATAAGGCACGAGGGGTGACTGAATGTTTTGATGTTCTTCATCCCTCTCACACGCTGTTTTGCCCTCACTCAAGAACATCTCAAGATCAGTTTTCCATGGTCTTAAATGTTTGGCTGCAGACCATCATCCCTACTGCTTCATGCTCCACTGGAAACTGTGTGCGCTCTTAAGACCACAGTCTGAATTTGGATTTCAGCGTGAATTTGGCCAAACCATATAAAAATGTGTCGTGATTCACTGAGGAAGTTTAATGTATCACTTCATTAGCTGCATCTGAACTCAAACACACACTTAAGCAGGTGCTGTCTGATAGAACCTGTAACCCGGAGACGTTTCTGAAATAGCATGGACTTTGTAGTCCAAAGTGTTAGTCAGCTGCCTCCACTCAGTTTGTTTTTATTTGATGAGAGCGTCTATGTGCGCCTACTTATTTCAACTTCATGCCAATTTATGCACACAGCTTTCCAGTAAAAACAGTCTTTTGAATCACCACACAAAAACATACTCAGGAGAGATTTGTGCACACTCCCACAACTAATACACACACACTTTGTGCGCTGTGACAGCAGTTGTCCATGCTGGCCTGTGTCTGAGTTAATGGCTAATTAATGCTCTAGTAGAGCCGACTCCCAGGGGAGCGCTGCAGAGACACCCGCTGACTTTGACTGCTAGAGGTCAGAGATGCTCTCTCACGCACTTTCTCTCATTCACTCGTCTTTTTTTCTCTCCCCTCTCTTTATTTCATCTCCTCTTTCCCGCTGTTCTCTTTCCCCTTCTCCTTTTTCATTGTTCCCTCACTTCATCTCATTTTCTCTCTCGTTCTGACCGCCTGTCAATAATGTCACATCATTAATCTCAATTCCCAATCATTACCTTCTCTGCTCGTTCTCCCCTTCAGTTTACTTCCACCTCATGGTCACAAAGTTAGTGATCACAGAGTTGCTACTTTCTCTCTTTGATAAATACCAGTCATATGTCCTTGAGCTCAAGAAACTTGCTCACAACTTTAGTGGAGTTTCTCGGCGGCCAATCATAAAGTACATGATAATTGGAAGACTACTTGTTTGTTATTAGGTACTGTACAGTAATTAGCTCCTTGTTCTGCATAATCATTCTCGGCTCCTCGTATACAGATAAAGGAAGCACACTTGCTGATGATTGCGATGAAACAAAAAATATTTAACTAATTATACAATAACTAATCATGTCCTGTGTTTAAAAGATTTTATGTTTATGCTCATATGATACTTCACACTAAACCATTCAATTCAGTGGGAAAGTGTGTCTGAATTTTTAACTGGTACTGTACATGTGGACTGAAAGTCAGCAGTTGGCAAGATTTCCATTGCTCTGACTTAAAAGTGGGTGTTATTTGAATGCTGAATAAATAGTTATGGTAGCTGTTGCACAACAAACCAGAGCTAAAAGGAATAAAATCTGGACAAATTTGTCTGGTGGCCAGACACTAGTTACTAATATTGCTTTGTAACTACTGCATGTAGTAAATAGACAGCTTTTGGCTAACAAGTTTACCAGGACATCTTTATAAGGTAATAATAATATATGACCATGTTGTGCTTAGAGTGAGTTACATGCAGCTGTGTTCACATGTTCTGATGGCAGAGAACATGACCATCATGTCTCTCCTCGATTAAAAGTCACCCGGCGCTGCTCAGTCAGAGAGGGAGGGTGACTCTCACACATCCAAGTAATGTCAGGATTATTAAATGTACAACTTTCTAAATCCAGCAGTGAGAATTGTAAATGTAACTGGACTTGGCTGGGTAGCGGCTGACTGCATGCAGCAGCCTAGATACCATCTTAATTAAAACTGAACATTAGCCTCAATCAGCGCTCCCAAAATGGAGCTGTGGGACCACCTGTGGTCCTTCAAGGGTCCCCTGGAAAATGTAGAACAGTTTAATTTTGCCATTCTCACTCCCTAGATGTTGGTCAGTGTTGTCCCCAGCTCCAGTACAGACCGAGAATCATTTCTAACAGCAAAAAGGTTTTGAGATTTCTGGGGGGCCAAGGTGGACTTAAGCTCAGTTATCTGGGGGTCCTTGCCTCTAAAAATCTGTGGAACCTCTGGCCTAGATTTAAAAAAAATACCTTAAAGACGCTATGTGTAGAATTTCAGTTTTATTGAAATGATTTTTCAAATAACGGCATAAGTCTATATTTGTACAAAAATAGGACAATCTCTGGTCATTTATTCTCAGCAGATAGGTTTGGTAACTGTTCCATTTTGGATGTCTGTGCAGATTCTCAGTCATCCAGGTCATAGTAAACTGAAAAAACTTAGAACAAATCAACTGGACTAGATTTCTAGGTCAAAATGGAGGCAAAATGTCTGGCTTCATTAAGCTCAAATACTAATGAATGTATCCTTCTTTTTTATTAATGAGCAAGTAGCAGGCCTCTCATTTTTAAGCAGCCCTGACCATTGCTCTTACTGGATATGCTGGTTTTGTTGGTTATGACAGATGTCATTTTAACTGATGCTAAACATTGTTAATTCCATACACAAATGCTGAGTGTAGAGCATCAGCACTTCCCTCCATGATGCAAAAATGAAGCCACAATATTGTGAATACAGTGGCTGCCATCATCGACCAGACCCCTTTATATCCTGATATAACATATTAAAAACCAACTTACCAGAAAAATGACCGCTTGTACACACATCAGTGTGAGAATATCTACCAAAAACCACAGAAGGGACCTCTGGGGGAAATAAAGATCTGATTTGTACTTTGAGTTTTTAATTTGGTTAATGTACGATCTGCTAGCATGGCAAAGGCGGGATTTATGATCTATACTGCAAGCAGCCACTAGGGGGCGGTCGACTCATGGTGGCTTCACTTCTGGGTCATGGTGTCCGTATTTTCTACAATTGGTATTAAAGACCAAATGAGCAATGTGTAAAACATTATAGCCGCTTATTTTAAACTGGCCTGATCATTATTTTTGCTGGTTATGATGAACATTATCTAAAGTTATGTTAATTCCATAATGGCTAAAAAAAAAAAAAAAAACCTAAATGTCTCAAGAGGCTCTTTAATTCCCGAGTTTGTGCTGCCTCTTTCCATATGGAGGTATATGGCAGTAAGGAAATTAGATGCTTTAGTCCCTAATTTTTTACCTAAAATGCAAATAAACATGTAAATCATGGTGTTGATTTTGTGCTGTATTTTAGAGGTACATTTTTGGCAGTGAGAAGTGGTTTGGTGCTGGAAAGGGTTGTATGAAAAAGGGAGCAAAATACACTGCTCTATCAAAGTAGGGAATGATTTCTTGCTGTGAATGTTAATTACGTCTCTTTTTCCTTTGTTTTGCTCTTTCTTTCTAGCTGGTGCTGTTTTCAGGGAAACTCAACACCATTGCCAGCATTGTGACCATTTTCTTCCTGCTGGTGTATGCTGCCGTGGACTTGGCCTGCCTCGCTCTGGAATGGGCTTCCGCACCTAATTTCAGGTACATATGTCACTTGCTAAACACACATATAGACACGGCACACTGGTCATAATCAACACCTGTGTTTGTTGTCATGCAATGTGACTTTCTGTAGCAGTTTTTCATCACTAAACACACTGTTTTTCTTTTCTGCCTTTGCCACTGTGGAAGGAAGTGGTTGCTTGCCAGCTGGATGCTACTGTGGCAACAGTGTACTAATTAAAAGACATAAAACTGGCCACTGATTATGGCCCCATATTGGAGAGGGACAGACGGTAAAATGGAGTGTGCGCGTGTGTGTTCGTTTTGTGGATCTGCAGCCTGAACTGGATGTTCAAGTAACAGAGTGTGGAGATGCTTAACGATTTAAATTTATGATGTTTGTGAATGTTAATCTGTGTGTATGTGTGTTGTTTGTATTCGCTTGTCAGTGATCCTGATTTATAAAAGCTCCCCAAAGGGAGTCACACTTAAGAGCAGCATAAACTGAGGCCAGAGGTGGTGTGTGTGTGTGTGTGTGTGTGTGTCTGTGGCTCCATGATTACATCATGACATCAACATGGCCAGAGTTTGGTATTTGATTCACTCTGCAACTTTTTTTTTATGAGTTAATATATATTTTCAGTTTGAAATTTTGATGGTGTCACAGAGAAATATGTCGTCATCCAAATCTGCACTATCTTTAATTTATAAAAGTACATCTCCACATCCAGTAACCTATATTGTTTTTGTATAAACATACCTTCCTTGATTAAACTTCTCCACTGCCTGTGAAATACATTTCAGACATGATAACTGCTGCTGTTTTTTTTTTTTATTTGTTATGGAGGAGAGACACTGTTTAAACACCATGCATCACTTTATGTTATGACAGATTGCTGCCAGAGCTGTATTTGTTGCTATATATTCCTTTGCAGTAATAGTTGGAAATGACTTGGTAGACATTTGCAGCTTTATACATTAAAGACACATCAGTCAAATCTAGTTGAAATCCAGATACTGCAATGGTGTAACTCTAGAAAACAAGGAGGTCAAGAAATTCTCAATTTGATGAGCTCTTATTCTGCTGCTGTGCTTTGGTTTGTAATGGTTGGATGTTGTCAGTGGATTAAACTGATAGTTGCATATTAGCGCTACACAGTACGATTGTAGTCGTATCTTTGTCTACGAGAGCAGTTTGGAGATTGAATACCTTTCTCAATGGCATTGACATGGAGGGTGAGAGGTGACTCACCTCTAACGTGATGCTGTTTGACAGCAGCTGCTTCCTTAACTATATGTTCAGTATTTACTTTTAACAGAACCACAGTATGTAGCGGGACACAGATAAAAATGTAAAAATCAGTCACCTTTTTAACAAATGTTTGATTCCTCTGTTACTCACAACTTAGGCCTTTTTAGTACCTATTAAAACTGCAGTGCACCTGGATGGTTAAAAGTGTTTCTATTAGGAGAAATGGAAATAACTGTCCTTGCATTTTGCTGTTTCTAATGTAAGAATAACCTCATATTTTAATGCATGAAATAAATTGAGCTTTTATAGCATATTTAGTGTTTAAACATAATTATTGTTCACATGTAATGTACAGTTACTCCAATCATTAAATGAGTTTCTTATATTTTGATTTAATGCTTGAAAAGAATCAGAAAAATACACAGACATATGCTTTAAGGGAACTGCAGTCCCAGCATATAAAGAGAGCCTCAATAGAAACAGGATTATGTTTTTCCTGTGGGTGTCAGGTGATTTACAGGCGGTAGAATGAAATGCACACGTCGATATGAAAACGTTCAATACAGGCACAAAATCTCTAACGGTGCTGTTTCTGTGCAGAAAGAAAAGACAGGGAATGAATTGCCGACCAAGTATATTTTCATTAATTTTAAGGATGACAGAGTCCAGTTTAGCATCACTTATTTTGCTTTGAATCACAAGAAACAGCCCATGTACACATCAACACCTGCTTATGTTAATTCAGTAGAATACAGTAGACAGGCTGCATTGGGTGGTCAAACTAACTGTTCACCACAACTGTTGGTACCAAACCCAGGTCCAGTGGTTAGTATATGTTGGTCAAGAGGCTAACATTAGCTGCTAACTCTCTGAATCTCCTCAATCAATCTGGAGCTCATTCTGAGCTCATTTCAGAGACCTTCTGTATTACTATGATGAGGACATTTTGAGTAAAAGCCTTAAGAAAAGCTTCTCCTACTATACAGGACTTTTTGAGTACATGACATACTGACACCTAAAACCAAGCAAATAATAGTTGATATTAGAAAAGTATGTTTTAGAAGCTATTTCTGAAGTTTTAACATTTGTAAAGTTGCCGTACTTTGCAAAACTGTATTTCTGTTCTATTCATTTCTATTGAGTATTGAATTGCCTTAGCTTGTATACGTCAGTGTGTACTGTAGTGAGGAAGGGGCTTTGAAGAGCGCATGTGAAAGAATGAATATTTTTGTGTGGAGCATGCTCAGAGTGCTGTGTTTTTCCTCTGGTGTCTTCCATGTGCAGCGCTATCTGCTCATACCTCATTATCGCTGTGTGACCACTGGTGAAGGCTAAACACAAAGTCAGCCACTGAACTTTTCCTACCGTTGATCTGGCCTCTCCCTGTCGGCCGGGTGACCAGGGGCCCCTGGAGCTGATAAAGCAGCTTGTTGTCTGGCCAGCTGCCTGCCCACTTCCCCTGAGTTTTTAATTCTGCCATTTCATTGTTGCTGTGTCACCAGGCAGATTTTAATGCCAGTTGTTTATGTGTTTATTGGTTTAAAACAATTTTTTTTTTTGCTTTGCGTCTTTCCCTCCACTCTGGCTCTCTCCCACATCTCTTTCCAGGCAAAAAGAATTAAAAGCCATTTAGTGCCGTCTCTCCCCCTGAGAACTGCTCTGTAATTAGCATAACTAATTTAGCAGAAATATTTCCCTTTCCCTTAAATTTGCTGTTGCGCTGGGGAGGGGAGGGAGTGAAATTATGATGTAGCGGAAAAGATGTCTGCTTGTTAAGTGTGTCTGTGTTTGTGCATAGTGTTTACAACAGAAGAGTGAAGGTATGCCATTTGGAGAGTGTGTGTGTGTGTGTGTGTGTGTGTGTGTGTGTGTGTGTGTGTGTGAGGCCTGTATATTTGTTAAAAATGTTTCCTCAAAAGCTTCAAATGAATTTAAGTTCATCTGTATTATGGAATTGTGTGTGTGTGTGTGTGTTCTCCTTTAGATCAGTGTTTACTGTTTTATCTTTGTTTGTGTGTTTTGTGTGAGGAGGCTTGTGTTGGCTGCAGCTTTATCAGCGCAGGCTCCAGCTGTGGGGAGTATTCCTCAGGGGGTGCTGTGTCCTTCTGCTGATGCTGCATGGGCACCAACCACTTGGACTTGTGGCTTAAACACGCATCAACACCTACACACACACACACACACACACACTATTGCTGCTCACTGGCCAGGATTCGGGACACAACTGGACACTCCACACTGATGCCAAAGGATGTCTGGGGAGAACATGTCACCCATAGGCGATGACCTTCAGTCAGACTGAAAACAGGAACTGCCAGCTCAACAAAATACACATTTTTAATCTGCTTCTGCAAACTTATTTCCATCTGATGCCCAAATTACAGGTGTGCTCTCTGCATCCACCTTGATTGTCTTTATAATAATCTGTTAACCTACCACCTGAACCATTAGTTTCATAACATGTGAGCTACAGTGAGGACTGGGTTATTAGATGAGATTTGGGGTGTGGAAAAGTCCAGATGGATCATGATATGTTCTGGATGGATGAGAGAAAATAGGTTGTTAGAGAAGCATTATGTGGCTATGATTTGATGGTTAAGGATAAAGGCGCCCGCCTCAGCTCAGACCAGACGTTTGGGTTATTTAGTTTTTGACAGACCTGACCTGGTTCAAAATGGCCCTTCATCCATTTTGGGCTTGACACTCTACAAGATGGGGGCACGGGTTTGAAAGAAGCAGGTGTTTAACAGGTATAAAGGGTCTAATGACCCTAATACAGCTCATACCCCCCCTCTCTCTCTCCATCATTTTTGGCTCTCAAATAATGGCATATTGCCAAAAAAGTTTAAAAAATGGGATCTAGTATTTTTGGTGCTTGGCCATAGCGGGGAATAGAAATAATCGACCTCTGATGCTTCAAATCGGCTGCAGCACATTGTCTTTTTTAAGTATATTAAAATATTTTGTAATACTCAGTGGAAACAAAAGGCAGAACCTTTTGTTGCACCAAAATCTTACAAGTCCTTTAAAGAGCTGGTCTCATAGTAAACAAGTCCTACTTTGTCATGGGACACAAAGTCTGTACTGTATTATGTCACTTAAATAACTAGAAACCTCAGGAAGAGCAGGCAGGGGACGAATCCTGTTCTTGTAGGTACTGTAGGGACAGAATAGACAGAAATAAAAGAGAAGTACAGTATAGATTAAATCAAGTATAATAAGTGCACAAAGTTACAGTTAAGTGTAAAAATATTTAAAAAAAAACAAGAAACTCCAAATGTATTGTGAAGAAGAAACAGGAGATGCTGAGTCAAGATGCTGCTGTTAATCAGCGACCATGCCTGTTTTATCACAACATGATTCCTTGGTTATGTTGCCTGGAGAGTTATCAGGTAAGAATATTGCAGTACCTGAGATTGATCCCATCATGCACTGGTGTTACCATGTTATACCAGGTTGATTTCTTAAGTTTTGAAGGTCACTGCACTGGTGTTGTGCCAGTGTTTGGCTGCTGCATGACGTAACGTCTCATACATTCACTGACCTCTCACTTATAGAACCTGGCATCTCCTAGCGGCCCTGTGTCTGAAGTGTGTGTGTGTGAGAGAGAGAGCGAGGGGAAGATGAAGTTTATGTCCCTATTCCCCTCAATTCTGATGTGTCTTTTGGCTGAAAGCTGGGTCCCCTCTCTCCATCTTCGCCACTCTGTTTCTTTTTCTTAATGTCCCTAAGGAATTGATAGGCAGTGATTGTTTCAGGGTGCTTTTGCTGTGTCAGCTAAGTGACATCAGTTGCTGGAGAGCAACAGAGACTGGGTGAGAGTGAGGTGACTGTATGGAGGGGCTGCAGAGACAAAAGAGGTGGGTGGGGGTGGGCAAGCTTTTATCGTAATTACACCCGCTCGCCAATGGGATGGAGAGGAGAATAAGATGAGAGAATTGTGGGCACCGCCGACGTTAAGTGATCAAGAGTCAAGTCGAGAAGAAATAAAAGCAAAGTTTGAAAACAGAGCATTGCAGCAGTGGGAGTGGGCTAAGATGGAGTTGGGATGACACTGTCATCCGGCTTTAACCTGAACAAGCTTCCTTCCGAGTTTTAACAAGTCAATATGTTTTATTGTTATTTCCTTTTAAAAGTTTTACTGGAGAAATTGTGCGTGCAGTGGGAGGATTTTATTCAAGAAGGTCAGTCTATAAACCCTGTGGTCTGAATGGTTTAGATGATTTTCCACTATGAAAAAAATAGGTTTTAAGTAAGCAAGTCAGATAAAAATCACCAAAATTGCACAGTTAACTGTGTGAATTTTAAATGCCCTGTGCTTTTACATGTTACAGGGTCAGCCTTATAACTTCGAATATACCGCCGGTACTATACCTTTTATACAGAACAGTGAGGCGGAAAACCCCCGCATCGAATGGGCCGTGTAAAAGGGGGATACTGTCTCATGGGCGTCTCTGTCGGCCACTCCGTGTTTCTCTTTTGACTTAGCATCCTGGTGGTCTCACCCCTTCCATTATCTCAATACATTAGCACTTTCCTGCTGTTGAGTGGTTTCTGCCCCCTTCTTAAACAGTCTAAATCTGTTAGTGGATCCATGCAAGAAACTGGTCAGTCATTTTAGCTGCTTTGTGTAATTACAGCCGGGACTATTTTAACGGCTGTTTATCCACATGGCTTATTGCAGGGAAATTGGAGTCAATTGCATGATCCTCCAAAAATGCGAGCACTTCCATTCGCTGTGTTGCTCTCCATCTCCGTGACCTTTTCAACTCATTTATACTTACAGAAATAAATGCAAGTCTGTTTTGATAGCTACATATGTGCAGTGAATACATCTAATGCACTAATTCAGGCCCATGCACACAGACACAGAGAGGTCTGTAGCAGCAGTTTATTATTGATGTGTGCTGTTTGTTTTAATTGCTCTTGTCCCAGCATTGACTCTGGAAATGACTCTGTACTGTAGATGTGTGTTCTTGTACTTGCTACATAGTGAGGACATTTTGGCTGGTCCTCTGCTTTTTCAGGGTTAAGGTCATTCAGCTCATCTATACCGACAAAATATCACCTTTAATATATTAAGTAAGAGAGGTTGTCTCACATAGACGTTGTATTTGAAGTTTGTATACTGTGGTGTGCACATCACCCAGAACAATGATATCTTATATGATAACTGTCTACAGAATTTATTACCAAAACTCTTTATACTGTTTACTGACCTGGTAAGATGAATGGCAGTAATCAGGCCGTTTGCAGTAGGGCCGCAGCCAGTGCATTTTTCTGTCTCTTGAACCTGCAAATTTTTGGATTTAAAAACTAGCAAGATCAAATTTAAAGGTCCTTGAAAATGATGTACTGTAATTCATGTAATGTGGGTTATAATTTCTGCTGCTGGGTTTTATCTCGTTCTGCTGCACTAATATGCAGAATGTGTTTGCGGAGGTGACATATTAGGACAGAGCTGACTTAACAGTCTGGCTGGAGTGGATTGGGCTTAAGCTGGCTGCTGCACCTGAATAAGTTAATCTAGCTTTTTCTTACCAATCTGAAGGATCCTCTGTAACAACCCACAACCAAAACAAAAAATGTTCTTGACAAAAATTAAAGAAAAGAGAGAAAATCAACAGGCAAACCACAAAAAGAGGCAACAGTACCACACTGTGTCCCCTTGTACTTTTAACACAAATATTAAATGTAATTTATACTTTTTAAAAATAGAATAAAGATGCTAAAGCTAATGATAAGCTACAGTTTTCAGTAGTGTGAGAAATGGTGGTTGCAGCCTTGTGAGGTCTTGTTTGATCATGCTTAAATCCCATTGTTTTGTTGGTTTTAGAGCGCTGTCTTGTACACACAGGTACTTCTATTAGATGGAGGCGAGAGCACATCAATTCAGCATTTATGTGTATTGCACAGCAGGATGGCAAACATCAGGAAACAAAATACAAATTATATATTTTTTAAGTTGATTTCATACTGCATGACTTCATATAAGGTAATATTAAAATGCTTAAAAACATTCATTTGCTCATTTCTAATTTCTTATAATTAAACTCGCTGAATTTAACATTGTGGCTTGGGTTGTGGCGTAATGGGAAGCTCACAGAGCAGATTAGCAGGACTCTTCAAGAGGAATGTTTTAGTACAGTATCAGGCATTGCGGCTGTAACAAACAGGCTGTCAAACCTTTTCTGTTATGCCAATTTTAAGAGCCTAAAGAAACCTCCCCTATAGACATACAGCTGAAATGAAAAGCACCAAATGATATAAACAAGTAGTGACGAAAAGGGAGTGAACCTCCAACATATTAAAGATTGGTTATTTTCACTAAAAATGAATTATCATTTATTCCCCCACCGCTCCTGTTCTCTTCCCAGGCCCACCTTTCGTTACTTCACCTGGCATACGTGTGTGTTGGGCATCGTGGGTTGTGTCATCATGATGTTCCTGATCAACGCCATCTACGCCTCGGCCAGCATCGCATTCATGCTACTGCTGCTTCTGCTGATTCACTATCTCAGTCCCACTTCCAGCTGGGGCTACATCAGCCAGGCTCTCATTTTTCACCAGGTCTGACACACACACACACACACACACACACACACACGTGCTTTCAGTACTGCCTTGTCATTACCAGAGCAACTAAAATCTCATCTCTTCAGCTTTACAAGAGCCTGTACCTCTGCTAAGCAGTCGTTCTATCAGCTTTATAGCGACAAGCAGTCACACACGCAAACAAACACAGACTGTTCTCTGCTGCTCTCCCTCAGCCAGGCATTTTGCATTGGGCAAACGCATATTTACTCTCTCACTTTTCTCACACACGCACACAACACTGCCTTGTTCCTATAGCAGCTGTCTGTCACGTTTATATCAGGATTACCAGAGACACACACACACAGTTCTGCATCTTTTTCCACAGCAGCGCTCTCTGCATTTATGACACACAACTTTACATCATCCAGCTCTCCGTGTCCTCGGTCTGTCGAGCCTGTTGCTCTCAAGGAGAGGGAGCACTGTTGCCAGGACGGCCTGTTGCTGAGGGGAGCCGTTGCCAAGGCTGTGAGCAGGGGTTATGAGGGGGGCGGCACGGCTGTGTTTGCCAGCAGACAGAACATTATTACAATGACTTAACTTATTGTGTTTTCCTCCTCGTCCTCCTCCTGGGTTCCTTCTCTGCTGTCTCTCTCGACCAGTGATAGCAGCCAGGAGTAGAGGGGTGGCACAGGCCTCCACCTGGAATCTGATTGGCTGCCCCTGGACCAGAGCCTCTGTATGAAGTGACTGTTAACATTCCTTGTTTTCCTTGTTTGAAAACCAGTCAAACAATTATAAAATAACGACACAGAGACACAAAAATAACTACAAACATAGACCGGGTGACTGTGGTTCAGTGGCTAGAGCAGTCGTCTTCCAACCAGGAGGGTCGGTGGTTCAAATCTCAGTGCCAACAGTCCACATGTCGAACTGTCCTTGGGCAAGACACTGAACCCCCAAGTTGCCCCCGATGTTTAGAGCCATCGGTGTGAGTTGGCGCCGCAGATGGCTGCCTCGGTTCTGTACCGGAAACAAATTCCTTGTGTGTAACATACTTGGCCAATAAAGGTGATGATTATATTATTACATTACCCAAAATGATCACAAAATTAGCCCAAAGAGAAGCAAAATGACCAAAAAATTGACCCCAATAAATACAAGCATTGACAAAGAGATGCAAAGTTACCATGAACAGATGACTATGGGTCTGTTGTCTCGATATCTGTCCATGGCTATAGGCTCTAAAACAATCTGATCTCCACATTGAAAAGTTTCTAAAACTGCACCTGGTGAGAATCCGTTTCTATTTCAATGGTTACACTAACAGGCCTAGCTGGAGAGGCCACAGGTGTGCTTGCACATGTCTCTTACATGGCTTGTCTTCCGTTCCTGCACACCTCCGGCAGCAGCCAGTATGGCAGAGTGCCAACTGGGTGACGCTAAGGCGGTAACAGGAGACGCAACTACTCACAGCAAAAAAAAAAAAAAACACCTCTGGAGATAACAGGCAACTGACATCTGTTTAGGATAGGAAAAGACAAACAGGCAAGAAATGCTTATGGTATCATGGGACGGAAAAGATAAAGATAAAATATAAACAGGGGAGGGGATGAGTGATTGAGAAGCTAAGTGATGGATGAGACTGAAGCTGCAGAGAAATGACAGCCTGATGGATGAGAAGACAGGAGGAAATGGAGAGATAAAGAGACACAGATGATTAAATGAGTGGAGGCAGTTGGACTTTACCTCTGGGTTTTTAAACAGCATTTACCAGAGAGGAGCATGGAAACGGGTGTGATGATTATGATGGTAATAATGTTGGAAATTGTTGCGCACACATACACTCAGCAGATTCTCAACCTTTTCCTTATCCGTGTCCAGTTTGGGGGTCTGAGGGTGTTGTGTGCTTTGATGTGAAGAGATTGAAATGATTTGTGATATCAGGCTATATAAATAAACTTTGACTTGATTAACAGCACATTTTTTCTGGGTCCAAAATGGAGCTACAACACAAGAAGAGGAGTGGTCTTTCATTTTTCCTACAATTTTATGTCTTTACCTCAAGTCTATTAAGCACACAAATCACTTTAAAGTATTTTTTTTGGCATTCTCAAGTGATTCTCTTCCATGTAAGGGGTGTTTCTGACCACTTCTCGAATTGTCCTGAAGTACTGAAGACTTCCCAGCTTTGCTTATGTCAGAGAAAACTTTATCTCTAACTTTCCTCTACTCTACTTTTAATAAGGAAAACAAAAGAGCTCAAAAGCCCTGGAAAAACAGATTCATCCTTTATAGTCGCCCTTCTCTCAAAGAGATGAATCCGACGGTGCAGGCTGCAGCTTGAACATGGCGGACATGTTGTCACTGAGCTAGTCGTCATTAATTCTAGTGAGGGTATACAATGAAATGAGTGTTAATTATTCCGGGAATGTTTGGTTCCATTTCCTTACCGTTATCTCGATGCCTCATCAACACACGTAGAATTTTAATGGTGAGTTTGTTATTGTAATTCAAACTGAGTCACACTTGCATTTAAGCACACACTCATAAGCAATTACAGATGGATACACTTTTGCCGACATTTTGGATGACATGTACACACACATATGCATATGCTCATCTATGCATGTACGCAAACCTTCTGATCTGGTTTCTGCCAGTGTCCTGTCTTAATAGGATGTTGATTGGAGATGTAATTTGCTTCTGGTGAAGTCCCTGCAATTACTATACAACACCGCATGCATAGAGTATAGGACAGAGCTGTTCCTGCATACAGAGCTTTGACTTAAAAGGAATTGGAACATTTTAGGAATTACACTTATTTGCTTTCTCTGTGCGAGTTAGATGAGAATCTTGATACCAGCCTTGTGTCTGTATGGTAGATGTAAAAACTACAGCCAGGACAAGACCCCAGGATGTTACAGCACCTGACTAAGAAACAGCTCTACACATAAACCCCCTTTAAAACTGGCGTTCTTATATAACAGGGGCAGATGGTGTAAGCTTCCATACACTGTCAACACTAATCAAGCAATGTTCAAACATATTTATCAAATAAATTCACCAGATTTCTCAACTATGTAGTTTTGCAATTCAAAAAAACAAACAAACCTGAAATTCTAATGCCAGGGAACTGCAGTATTACTACACTTCCAGTGCAACTTCTGTTATCCTTGTGTTGTAGACCTGCCACATAATAATTATAAAAAAAAACAGGTGAAATTAATTTTCTGTTTATCCTCATACTGAATATACTGTACATTAGTCTTGAGCTTGTATCGCAACTAAATTATATGAAAGCTGTACGAGCTTTCAAATTGGTCAGCCTGAGCCTCAGTGTGGCTGCTCACATATACACATATATTTTTAAATATTCAGTATAGTACCCATGTCTTTCTTATGTCTTAACTTGCATCACTCTAAAGTGGTTTAACACATTTATTTTCCTTGTGCATATGAAACGATGAACAGTCTGGATGTGCAAATCATTACTGGGTTTATTACATGTCATTGCTTGAACTCCATGTCAAATCCTAATGTGATCATGATCCATGAAAGTTACTTCCACTTTCTGCACATCAGTACATTAACTCAGGGAGTGGGTCTCATGTAACCTCAGCTCTGTTTAGGGCAACTCCACCCTACACATGTGGCTATCTGAATGACACTGGTATGGACCACTGCACTAAAGAAGGATGCTGGGAATAAAAATAGGCTCATATTCCAATAACAATCCTTATTTTAATTCTCTTTAGGTGCGCAAGTATCTGCTGATGCTGGATGTGAGGAAGGACCACGTCAAGTTCTGGAGGCCTCAGGTCTTGCTGATGGTTTCCAACCCTCGCAGCAGCGTGGGCCTCATCACCTTCATTAATGACATCAAGAAGAGTGGCCTCTATGTGCTGGGCCACGTCCAGCTAGGAGATCTCAGTATGTCTGTTTGCCTTCTAGAAATTAGATTCTCCCCGCTGCTAATCCTGTGCTTGTCTTGGACAATTCCATCTACACTTAAAGGTCACAAAGGAATGAACATTTTGATAAATCAGTTGTTCCTGTGAAACATCATGAAACCACTCAGTGTTGACTTCCAAAGTTGGGTTTTTGCCTGACAGCGTCAGATCATCAACAGTATTTGAAAGTTTCCTTTTTCCAACATTAGCATGCACCATTTCGCTACTAAACTGACTCGCCAACTGTGAGAGGGCCACTATTAATTATGAGCAAAACAAATTGGTGATGATGATGGGATATAGTTTTTTGGATAATTTAACATTATTATGGCATTTAAAGACGGCAATAACAAAACTAAAAGCCTTTTTTTGTTTGTTTTTGACTACTCGGTGTCAGCATTATTGCTAAATTTTACTACTTTTAATTAGGAAGAAATAATATTCCAACTGAAGGACTCTCAGGTCTTTAGAAATATGTTCATATACGCATTTCCACAGTGAGCAGTGCATCATTTAATGGACCTTTTTAGAATGCTAGGCCTTTCTCCATGTCATCGGCTCTTCTACTGCTCTTTAGAGAGAAGTAATCACACACACAATACTCCAGAGGCGTCTCATTTATTTCTGCAGAGGCACACAGACTGTTTAAAGGGGGCAGGGTCATTTATTGTTTATGTTGTCTTTTGAGGATTGTGTTTGGGGGGGGGTATGTGTTGATTGGAGACCGGGACCGGCCCGGTGTGGGGTCTTCAGTGTCAAATTTCTCTTATTGTTCATTAACCACCGATGATCCCTTGTGTCATCTGGCAAGCCACTTGGTCTTGAGAAATATGAAGAAGACATTCATTCTCATAATATCAAGGAGGAGTTTGTTGTTGAGGATGTTCAGCTGCTTCCACCTTGCCCTCCTCATGTATTTTAAGTCTGTCCATTTATTCTCTCACTTGTCTAGCAGCTGTCTGCATTATTGCTGAGTAAAAGAATACAAAAGTTTGGAGTCTGAAGAGGTCCTTACACAGCTACCAAAGGGATTGTCAGTGTAGCCTCTGGGTTGCTCTCTATATACATATTGATGTTTTTGGATGATTGATCACCTGCCTGACTGTTTGTGCTTCCCTATGTCTTTTGCTCCATCTCACATTTTGTTTCTGTTGTCATTTGTGATTTCTCTCTTTGTCCCCCATATCTCAACGTCAACTCTCGTATCTCTGTTGCACTCTGCCTCTAATTCAAGCTCTGTCAAGCTGACTGACTTCTAGGCCTTCACTATCCTTCTTTGAATCCCAACATACTGTACTTTTGTTGAATTGCCAGCAGTATTTCTCACCTCTTACCATTTGTTCTTCCTTTCTCCCAGACAAATTACCATCTGACCCTCTGCAGTCCCAGTATGAATCCTGGCTATCCCTGGTCGACCATCTGAACATCAAAGCCTTTGTCAACCTGACGTTGGCAGATTCTGTGCGTCACGGGGTCCAGCATCTCCTCTTCATCTCTGGACTAGGTCAGTAGCACCATCATCATTTTCAATGTGCCCGTTAATCAACACTGAAAGGCCAGTACTGACGTCTGGAATTAAAGCTGCCCCTAGTTGGAAGCTGAGCTTTGTGCTGTGATTATTATGTTTCATATGTTAAACCTAGACAGTCCAGACTTAAATTGATGCGGCCTGGTTATTCTACTATGACCACTGGAGGCGTCAAGGTCAAAAATGTCACATTTTGCTCCTAGTGGCTTTAAATCTTTCAAATCCAGTTTTGTGTACTTCATCAAGCTTTCAGGCAGACATTGTACTTTTGAATGATGTGTTTTTAGAAATCACTTTATTTTTAGTTTTTGTCTAAGTGTCAACCAGAAAAATGTTTAATTTCAACTCATTTTATTATTTTCACCTTAACTTCATTCAAAAGGCAGCTGTATTAATTTAGCTTCATGTTCTCCAACCCTTTCTCGTATGCCTTTGGCTTCCTTCCCAGTTCTCACTCTAGCACTTGTTTTCTTCATGTCTGTCTCCTACTTTAACTTCACTTCCACTTAACAACTCAAGAAATCAATGATTATAATTAAGAAATTATTTGTATTAAATTATAACAAAGGGTCTGGTCTAATTTTTTGTTCATCTGTCTCTTCCCTTCCTTCCCCTCTATCCAGGTGGGATGCGTCCAAACACTCTCATCCTCGGTTTTTATGATGACTGTCTTCCAAGGGACAAGCTGATTGATCCTTCCCTGTCTACCAGTCAGTCCACAGATCTCTTGGGTTTTTCTCAGGATCTTGAGCAACCACCTCCTCTCTTCCATTTTGCTTCCTTGCGGGGATCCAGTGACCGAGAGGATTATGGGAAATTTGATGATGGGAAGGTTCTGGGTTCCCAGGAGTATGTGGCTATCATTGCCGACGCCATAAAGATGCTTAAGAATGTGGTACTGGCTCGCTACTTCGACACCTTTGACCGAGCCCAGGTCCTCTCACCGCCCTTGCTGGGTGCCGTGTATATTGATGTCTGGCCGGTCAACCTCTTGCGTCCGGACAGCAGTAGCTATGTCGATACATGCTCTCTCTTTCTGCTACAGCTAGCATGTATCCTGAACATGGTCCGAGCCTGGCGAAAAACTACTGTGCGTCTCTTCCTGTGTGTGGAAGCAGGACGTAGCGTGAGAGGTGTACAGGAGAAGTTGGGACAGCTGTTGAAAGATCTTAGAATTAAAGCTCAAGTCTACCCCGTGCCCTGGGACCAGCAGGTGGCGCTACACTGGCAGCGTCAAGGTGGGTCCAGCATGAAACCGTCATCACAGTCCCCCGATAGCACTAATGATGAGGAGAATGAGAACGAAGATGATTTTGTTAACAGCTTTCCGTGCAATGCCACGCGCCTGTCTGATGACTACCTGTCAGCCGTCAACAAGCTGATCTTAGACCAGACCTGGCCTCTGCCAGCCGTGCGTTTCCTATACTTGCCTCGCCCTCCAGCTGACACCCAGAGTTACACCACCTACTTACACCAGCTAGAGCTGCTGACCCAGGACTTGGGCCCCACACTGCTCATCCACGGTGTCACACCTGTCATCACCACTGACCTTTGAACAGTCTCCTAACACTTTCAGTGCCTTACATGCAGAAACAGACCTTGAAATTTGATGCAGACTGAGGTCACTGCTGGTTTATGGACACTGCCTCGTACAATATGGACCAACTTGGAACAAAATCTCTAGAGACAATATAAGATTCACCTTATCCAACTTGGTGTCACAGAAAATCCTTCTTAGCCCTTGTTATCTATGTTCTCAACTTTCAGTTTTGCTTTTCTTCAACAAGTACCTGAAGGCACCATTATGTTAAATTGTTAGGCGGATTTTTTTTTTGTATTTCAAGAATCAAACAATCCATCTGTCATCAAATGTACCAAAGTTAGCAGGAGAAAAACAGTGCCTTATCAGGTGAATGTAGAACCTGTGGAGCCAGCTAGCCAATCAAAAACAGAATAAAGAGCATGTGATGTTCTTTTTAACACATTTAAACCAATGTGATAACACTCAGATGAGTCCATGGGTCAACCGTTCCACAGGGGAACCCTCGCTCAGATTACCAGTCAACCCTGTCACTTTATTCTTCATTACTACCTGCAACAGAGAGAGCAGCCTGATTCCAGATACATTCTATGCACGGTATCGTCTGACTCCCATTCTCCTATTTCTGAAATGGTTTTTAATGTGCTGCTGCTCACATTCCTCATAATGATCATTCCAGATGTCATTAGATTAAAAAGTGCCTAGCTAGTTAGGGAGCTGAAGTTTGGACTCAGTCCATCATGCAGTAATACTACAGTCTGATTTTCCATTTTCAGAGCTTAGAACAAAGGAGACGGTTGAACAGTAATAGTGATGGTGCTATTATGGAAGACGTTCTCTTCTAAAGATCACTTCATGTGGGATCTCAGGAAGACATTCCAGTCCTTTGCAAAGTGCACTTTTTATCCTTCCTTGGCCAAACTGTATGTTGTGTAGCTTTCCAGAATTGTGTTAAGATGTTTACAGGACTGTAACAACTGTGATTATACATGATTTGTTATTGTCCTTATGTGTTCTAGGTGCTCTGTAACATTTAGAATTCTTTTTACTCACTGGTGACCACGTTGTTTGACCAGCCTCAATGCTGAAGTGAATAAATGAAATTTAATATCTGGTCACCCCCTTTCACCTAATGTTTGTAGCATTTAGTGAACCTATGCAACTTTTGCAGAACTGTGGCTACAAGGGGACAACGTACCTGCATTTAGTCTGAAAAGTCAGAACTGTGCAGCTACAGTGTATCTACAGAAAGTTGCCAACGTTGGCCTCAGTAAGATCATTTGAGGCTGTATCAACAAAATCACATTTTGCTACTCATAAATTCAATTTGTCATTTGTAAGAAGAAGAATATTGTTTTTCTTTTTGCCAAAAGTTGCATAGTCTCACTTCAAGCTGCATTATCACAGTGAGTACACTAACATACTGTGTCTGTATCCTCTAAGATAAATTTAAGTTGCAGGTTTATTAAAAAAAAAAATAGGCTAAAGGGTTGTGATCCTTGAAATTTGAGTCTGAAGTCACTACAAATAAAATATATTCTTTCACAGTCTTTGTCACACTGCCTTTGACACGGACGGGTCATTTGGATGATCCTCGACCAGCCGTTCACACTGCATCTCCAAACGTTTGTCTCAGATTTCTGTTCCTGAAATTAGAGAAGCACAAAGAATATAGCAGAACATCATCGATTGAAGCAGTGAAATGTATGAATTACTGCTTAAATAAAAAAAAAATCACATACATACATACATATATATACATACACACAAAGAATTTGACAGGATGCAAACTGAAACGACAAAAAATAAAAGTTTGTATTACATGTTTTTTTTTTTTTTTTTTTCTTCTTTCACATCACTAATGTTACATGGGCAAAGCCAGATCAAACTTAACAGCTGCTCAGGGCGCAGGACTTTGTTTCAATCAGCTGAAGACCTATTTGTATGTCTCATGCCAGAGAGCTGTGTGTGCACGTATTTGTTTGAGGTAAACCCTGGAAATAGAGGCTAAGTTAGTTCAGCAGCTCAGAGATACTAGAGGATGCAGGCAGCCAAATTAACTTGTCTTACAGACACCCTCGCTCCCAACCAGGCAGAAATGGATTCCATCTCCACTCTGAGGTGAACAACAGATTGGAGAAATAAGCCCAAATACTATCGATATCTGTGAAGGAGGAGGGAGGCTGACATTTATCAGACCCCAACTCTGAGAGGATTCGTGTGTTCGTGTATAGAACTGAAGTCAGGACTAGGTTTTGTGAAGTGTTTACACGTGTACACTGATCAGCTATAAAATTATGACCACCTGCCCAACACTGTGTACACATGAGTTAGTGTGGCAGTTGGTTGGCGCTCGTGTCAGCTCACTGTGCATGTTCTGTGAATCTGTTAGCTTCCATAGTTCTACTGTCAGGAAGACTGAATCTGTCATTCATTGATTAAAAATATCGCAACATGTTGGATTGGAGACTAGGGAGTGTCAAACCCTCACACACAAATGTAAACTGATCTCATGTTATGTTCCTATGCGCGCACACAACAATTTAAAAACAAAAAAAAGCTTCACAGATATTTGTAGCACAGAGACTGTTCACCTAAAGGCCTTTTCCTAAATGTGTGTGTGTGTGTATGAGAGCGAGACCAAATCAAAGACAGAGACCATCAAGCTGTGTGTGTGTTTGCCTCCAAGTTTGAAGCTCTGCTCTGTCATGTCTGCAGTCCTGATCAGAGGAAATTTATCACCACCTTGTCACTTCTATGTTGTGTCATAGCCCTAACCGGCCACGCCACCGGCACACACACACATGTACTTTATCACTTATAATTTCTATCACACTTCCCATTTCATCTTTCTCTCTGTATCTTCAGCTTGATTTAATTTTACATGACACGCAGATCGTCGGAGTCATCGGTTGTACTGGGAGGAGGAGAAGGGGGAGACTTGTCAACTAGAATTTGGTTTCGCTGACTCCCAGATTCAATTACAAGTTAAGGTTTAAGGAGGCCACACAGACCTCTGGCTTTGCCTGTGAATCATGTTTGCATTCAAATGTGCAGAACGCGTGTGTGCACATTCAGATTATAGAACATAGGCTTTTAAAGAGTCCAAACTGCTGAACGACACAAACACAGCGGCCATAGTCTGATGGCTAAAGCGTCTAAACCAGTGTGACTAAACAGATGTGACTGTATATTTTTAGTAGAAAGGCACCGAGTTTGCTCTACCTCACAGGCAGTACATACTCTTAGCAGTGTATGCGTGTGCATGTGTATTTCAACAACAACCCCAGAGGAAAGTGCACTAATAGTGTTACGCAGTAGGATGATTAGGAAATTAGTTCCATTATGAATCTGGGGTAGTTTAACCATTTGTCCACCAATAAGGCAAAAAACAGAAATACCACATTTTCTTTGAGCGTGCATGTTTATTGCTGCTACTTCAAGCTACCTAATAAAACTAAACACGTTGAACCAAGTCCAGCAGCAATGAGGTTGATCCTGAAAGGGAGACATGGTGATATGAGGATGGCTAGCAGCTCTGACTGTCACCTGAGAGCAGCCATTGTCTTCTGAGAGTTTTGTGGTGAAGAGCACAGTGGCCCCTGAGGTTATCTATAGCCCTGCATAATGTGGTTTCGCCTATCTGTTTCTTTTTGTTTATGATCCAGAGCTCTTTTGGATATAAATTCTGTCCCACTCTGCTGTGGTGTTGCCATTTGTTTGCACTCTCTCGCCCCCAAATAGCTTCAGGGTCATGTATCATAAAACACAGCCCCGATAAGAAATGCCCAGGAATATGAGGCGTACACTAGGATCTCATTTATCGGAATTCAGCATTTGCATGTTTAGAAAGAGGAGGTGAAGATTCTTTGTGATTGTATGAGGAGGTTTTGCTTTGTGCTGGACGTGTGTTGTAGGGGCACATGGCCACACGTGTGCATGGCATCAAACTGCAGCTCCCTTTTCTTCATAAATGAGCTTAGTGTGTGTTTCACAGGCAAATACTGTATTTTTATTATTATCATTTTACAAATGCAGGTATTCTGTTTCTCTAACTGAATGAATGAAATGAAAAAGATGCTGAGACATTACACTTCTGCATTTTGACAGCTTTTCTTCATAACCACACTGCTATAGATTGATGACACAAACGTGCTGATGTTTGTCCCTCATTGTGTGACGGACCCTGATCCTTGTAATGCAATGTCCCCCTCTGGATTTGGCCACCCTGCTCTTCAGTTCAGGTTTAATTTTACTGGCAAGGCAACTTTATTTATATAGCACGTTTCAGACAGAGAAACGATTCAAAGTCCTTTACAGAGGCAAAGAAAAAACAGTAGCAGCATTAAAACCACAACAAAATCAGCTAAAATAAAGTGAAGACAAAACATTGATAAAAGGAGATAAAATTCATAAAATGAAAACAAAAGCCAAAAAAAAAACATAAATCTAGTTACAGTGCAGAAAGTGCAGCACAGAAACCAGTTAAATAAAGGCACAGGAAAACAGCAGTTTGCAGTTGAGACCTGAAAGTGGCTGGAGTCAGGTCATCAGCTGGTTCCATCTCTGTGCAGGAATAATAGGCATTAGCCTTAATATTCAGTTAGTAAGGAATGTGTAGGCTTATGCTTTTCTACACCAGATAAGGTTTTACTTTGTTTTTTATCTGTTACCTATCAATATGTATTTGACTATTGATAAGGCTTCCTGATGTGACTCAGAAAGTTGGTGCCTTCTTCTCACCTGTGAACACAAGGTGTATAATGAGGCCTGAGCCTGGCCTATTGGACGTTACTGTCAGCTATTCATTTGGCCTCTTACTTACACCCTGTGCTGAGGTATTTGTCACAGTTATTACATGATTATTATTTATGGGAAAAGTGGCTTCCAGTTTTTAATGCATTAAGACAAGTCAGACCTGTCCCATCGTGTGACACTCCTGACCTTCCCAACTCAAAACAGACAAGTCTGTTGTTGCCCTTTTGTCTTGGTCTAAAGTTAATGTAGTGCACCGTTCTAAAAATAGATTTTGCTTCATAGACTCTTCTGTCTTGCTGTGTTGTATCTAAATTGGAGCCTTGATAAGCTGTTTAAACTCAAACAGGTTGTGTGAGCGATTGTTTGATTAAGGGAATTGAATTAGGGTGAAGCATAAAGAAAGTAAATTTGCACAGTTTGACTGAAAATCTTTTGAGATGAGTGTTTGTATATTGTTCTGTTGAGGGGCATGCTTAGAATAGACAGAAGGAAATAGAGAGTTACAGTCACATGAATGCAAAGCAAGTTTATTTATATTGCATTTACAAAGATAAGTTAACAAAAGTTCCTCTATTAGTACAATACAGCTGTCTTTGGTGATGAGACCCCGTTCTCAAAGGGGTAGTGACACCAGCTGCTTTATGACGCTGGTGTTGATCTTTATATCCACCTGAAACTGTGGATGGATGTGAACTGGAACAGGATGCTGAGGAGCTCACTGGACCGATTCAAAGCTGGAAACACTCTGGGCTGGGTGAAGGTACGTCACATGAAAAGGAACAGAAAAAGCATTAGATTTGAGACTGAAAGGTTTATTTTTCCACATACTGTACACAAATTATATGTGCACAGAATTGTAGTGTGGAGTCCTTCTAATGTTGTGCTACAACACAAAAGAAAATATAATTATAGAGGATCTCAGTCTGTGTGTGTGTGTGATTTGTGCCTATAGAAACATTTCCCTGACTGTAGAAGCCACTATAGAGTAGTAGAGTGAAGAGCTGTGTTCATGTCATATTGGAAATGCAGGAGAAGTTAAAGCAATTAAATTCTAATATTTAATAGAGCACTATATTAAAGAATTATAGTATTTTTACTCTCACATGTCCAACTCTGCAGTAAAGCAACCGGCACTTCTTATACTTCATGCAAATGACACTTTTGTATTGTAGGCATAGTGTTTTTAGAAAAAGCTTTGCATGCTGGGTAGTTTTATTGTTTGTTCTTTGAAGAAATGTAGCTGTTTGTTCTTTATATTATTGTTTTATTGGACTTTATTAAGAGAGCTAAGTGAGAAGCAGCTGCAGTCTTGAGCTGTCAGATGACATGCACGTTGTAAACATGGGGA